TCCCCTTGCGCTTCCTGACAGAGCTGAGCATTTAAAGTTAAAGTTTAATTTCAAGTTCAAGTTAAGCTCAGCAATAAAGGCAGGTGTCTATGGACCACCCTTGTGTGTAGTTGTGGTAACATATCTGAAATTCTCGGCGCCACCAAACTGTGTTCGAAAATGCCTCCGCAAAGGTGGGCAAGAGGGTAACGAAAGACGAGCAAAATTAAAGATTCTCTGTTCACCACTCCAGTGCCTCTGTCCCACCCTCTCCAGGCCACGGCTGTGGGGTGTGTGCCTTTTTGGCAATACGCCGCGCTGCACCGTGGAGCGCTTTGGCGCGCGGCATGCCTGCAGATGGCGCCACGCCTCCCTCGCAGGCGGGCTAAACTTCCGTTCGCATTGCCGGGGCGGGGCGGGGCGGGGCGGGGCGTCCTGCGTACAGACTAGCCTTAACGAAATCGGGAAGCCTGGCCTGCTGCCTGGTCGTGGCTCGGCGGCTTCCCCCGCGGCCAAGCAGAGCCGAGCCACTTGGGTCCTGACTTTGGCACCTGCCACGGCGAGTCACTTTTAAGGAGCACATTGTTAGACGTACGCGTGACGGGCTGTGGCGTGGCGTAGCGTGGCGGAGGAAAACTTGTCGAGCACTTGTCTCGGTTCTGGACCAGGTACCAACGCTTCTTTGCAAAGTGGACGAGTCAGAGGCCGCGGTGCGGCCGTCTCCACCCAGCCGTACCACTTTCAGAGAGAATAAAATCCAATTTCACCATGCTCATCGTACTCCTGCTTATCTCTCTCCTTTAACGTCCCCTACCAACACGCGCTAGTACAACCACAATTAACATTATTCGCGAGTCAACTACGCGGACAAAAGAGTGGTTGGATCTGAGGAAAAGGACAGCTGGAGAAATATAGAAACGTTCTGTCAGAGAACGGCCAAAAACGGCCGATCACGACGACAAAAAATTTATTGGTACCAGAGCCTTGATTAATATACTATCAAAGGCTAGAATCAGAAAAGTGCTAAGCCAGATTTCAATGACGCCCTACTTCAAACAATTCAATTGGCAGCGACGAGGTCCGAGCTAACCTCCCACTGAACGGTGTCAAAAAAGTGTCTCCACATTGAAAATCCCCGCCCAACGGTGCGAGAGCCAAACTGCGTCGCCGGAGAATGGAACAGGGAAGACTTTCGCCTGCGCTCCAGCTTGCATCGCTGCCTCACACTCATCGTTACAATAAAGCGAGAAACTAGACAAATAATTAATGTGTATATTATAGTTATTATTGCTTTGAGGCTGCGTTGGTGTTAAACACCGCCGACTAAAATGAAATCAGACATGCCTTTTACTGCTGTTAACGCAGAACGAGCAAGCCACTAAGCGCTAGAAAGCTTGCGGGGAAAAGAGTGCTTAACCAGTGCTCCCTAATTGCTTGGGTCGGTCCACGAACAAACCGACGCGACGCGCGCAAAAAACTCACATGGTTGGGAATGAGAAGACAAGTGAGGCAGAGCGGTCCTCGCCTCGGGAATGAAACGCAATTTCGTCTGCTGTATTTTCTTTCTCACCACAACGAAGCAGCAGTAGCTAAAGTGCGGATGCCCCGCTTTTGGACTTGTTGCTGAGCGAGGCGTCGGCCGTAGCAGAGGCCATGATAGGGCTAAAGGCTATATCGTTGGGGCTGCTCCGCCACGCCCAGCCCCGCTCAACCCCACCCCACCCTCCAAACCCCGCCCTGCATTTGCCCCGACCCGTTTCCCCGACATGACCCTCAAGCCCTCTGGCACGTTTTCAGGCACTTCCGGAGGCACTTGTTGGAGACCCTGAGCCATTTGGTTGGCTTGCAAGCCCATGAGCCTGTGAGGCCTGGGAGGTATACTGGCTGGACCCGTATATTCAAACAGACGAAAACAACAGAAAAGGGAGGATCTGCGACTCTGCGTCAGCAGTCCCTTCAATAAAGCGAGGCCTACAGGGACGAGACTGGACAGGGCAGCGCTAGTGTCATTACCGTCACTAAAATATCAATTTTCATTCATTCATGCAGAATCATGCTAATCAGTCGTATAACACTAATTGGTCGGCAGAGAACGCGGGGGATGCGGGCCGGCAGGTGCAGCAAAATCCGTTATTATGCTAGATAGGGTCAGCAATTCCATTTGGCAGTACACGACGTTCACTACATGAATTAGTGGAGCACTATACTACAACTATATGAAGATTAGGCAGTCTACTTGTAAAAATACTAATTAAGGTAGAAAAATGTTATTCAAGATTCAAGATACTTGGGACTTATGAACGATACGGGTTACCACCCCTGCTGAGGCTGCGAAGGAACTCCAATGACCCACAACTCTATTATGCGACATACCAGGAGCGTAACTGGGAGCAGTTACGCGGATCATGCCAAAGCACGATGTTACCCACGAAGTTACACGTGCTTTTGAGGTAATCGGCGCAGTGTAACGGTTTGGAACACGTCGCTTCGCGAACCAGGGTGAAAACAATGAAATCTTACCATCTGGCGCGCAGCGGAGCGGAGAGCGCAGTGGCTGCTCAGCACCGGCTGCGGCTCTTGTTCCGCAACTGCCCTGCCATCTGCGGAGCTGCCTGCAGGCAAACGCAGGTCTCCGTCAGAGTACACTCCCTAAATGTCCAAGGACAATTTAACTAGCACCGTACTTCTGTATGCACAACTAGCTCAGATACAATATTGTAAATACCAACACACATTTAGTGACTAGCAAGTCACAATATTGTATCTGAATTCAGTTATGCACGCAGAAGTCCGGTGCTAGTTACAAAAATTGTCCTTGACATTTAGAGTGTAGCCAGAAAAATGATTTCTTGTCAGAAGTACATTTTGTAAAAAAAAAAAAATTGATACAAGTATTTTGTTTTTTTCTGAAAGAAGACGACTTTGCTTTCCCAGTAACAAAATTTCTCAATTAAAAAGGTAATATCTCACGTTACGTGCAAAATTGATCTCAGATCAAAATGCACATGAAAAAGAACATTTTCATCCGTAAGAGAGGGGGGGGGGGCGCTTAGATTTGATTAGTATCTCGCCTAGCAACGTGTCGTCTAAGAGAACTACAATAATGGCCGTGAGGAAAAGAAACTATGAATAACGGAAATGTATTACAGCTTTCTTTAGACAATCATTAGCTGAGCAAGCTAATATTCTGAGCCAAGATTGAACTACACTGTAAAAAACAAGCTGATACTGCGGGACTGGCAACGGACATTCCGTCATAGCATACTGCAGAAAAGAAATACGGAAGAATTCGGTCAACCGGTTAACCGTTTGAGTTGGGCCGTACAACTAAATTCAGGGTACGGACACGTCCGGAAACTAATTGCCGCTGCTGTCCGTTGATTTTACGTTGTTTTTTCTCACAGTGACGCAAATGCGTTGCGTATTTCAGCTGATTTCATTTTTTGCCTGCTCTATAGTCTAATGTCAGCCCTTTATCTCCTTTCTACGCGTCTTCCAACAACGAAACTACGATTGGTTGCAGGAATGGTCAATCTCCCTTGTAAAACGGTTTAATTTCTATGTAATTTATGAGATATTACTCAGTAATTAAAGTGTAATTAAGTGGCAGAAATTAAATTAGAATGTAATTTAAAA